ATTTTTGTTTTTTGAGGAACTGCAAAACTGTTCTCCATAGTGACTGTACTAATTGACATCTCCACCAGCAGTATACAAAAGCGTTTGCTTTTCTGCACTTCCTATCCAGCATTTGTTGTTGCCTGTCTTTTGTTTATAAGCCATTTTAACTGGAGTGAGATGCTAGATCATTGTAGTTTTAATTTTCATTTCCCTGACGATCAGTGACGTTGAGTGCCTTTTCGTATGTCTGTTTGCCAAATGTTGTCTCCCATTCTGTGGGCTGTCTTTTCAGTTTGTTGTTTCCTTCACTGTGCAGAAGCTTTTTAACTTGAGGTGATTCCATTTATCCATTTTTGCATTGGTTGCTTGTAGTTTTTGTGGTATGATACAAGACATTTTTGCCCAGACCAATATCCTGGGCTTTCCCCACTGTTTTCTTGTAGTAGTTTCATAGTTAGAGGTCTTAGGTTTAAGTCTTTAATCCATTTTGATTTGATTTTTATATAAGGTAAGAAATAGGGGTCAAATTTCATTCTTCTGCATATAGATATCCAGTTTTCCCAGCACCATTTATTGAAGAAGCTGTTCATTCTCCAGTGATGTTCTTGGCGCCTTTGTTGAAAATAAGCTCACTGTAGATATATAGTTTTATTTCTGGGCTCCCTATTCTGTTCCATTGGTCTATGTGTCTGTTCTTATGCGAGTACAATTCTACGTTGGTTACCTAGCTCTGTAGTAGAATTTGAAGTCAGGTAATGTAATTTCTCCAGTTTTGTTCTTTTTGCTCAGGATAGCAGTGGCTATTCTGGGTCATTTGTGATTCCACGTGAATGTTAGGATTTTTTTCTATTTCTGTGAAGAGTGTCATTGATATTTTGGCAGGGATTGCATTATATCTGTAGATTGTTTTGGTAGTATGGATTTAACAATATTGATTCTTCTAATCTATGAACATGGATTATCTTTCCATTTTTATGGAAAAAATGGATAAGACTGATGAAAGAAATTAATCCTCTTTAATTTCTTTTATCAGTGTTTTATAGTTTTCATCATAGAGATCTTTCACTTCTTTGGTTAATTCCTAGGCATTTAATTTTATTTGTGACTATTGTAAATGGGATTACTTTTTAAGTTTCTTTTTTAGATTATTCACTGTGGGCATATAGAAATGCTACTTAATTTTTCTTTTTTTTTTTTTTTTTTGAGATGGAGTCTCACTCTGTCACCCAGGCTAGAGTGCAGTGGTGTGATCTTGGCTCACTGCAACCTCTGCTTTCGGGTTCAAGTGATTCTCCTGCCTCAACCTCCCGAGTAGCTGGGATTACAGGTGTGTGCCACTATGCCCAGCGAATTTTTGTATTTTTAGTGGAGATGGGGTTTTACCATGTTGCCCAGACTAGTCTCAAACTCATGACCTCAAGTGATCTACCTGCCTCAGACTCCCAGAGTGCTGGGATTTTAGGTGTGAACCACCGTGCCCAGCCTTTATTTTATTTTATTTTAATTGAGAGTCTTGCTCTGTTGCCCAAGCTGGAGTGCAGTGGCAGAATCTCAGCTCACTGCAATCTCTGCCTCCTGAGTTCAAGTAATTCTCATGCCTCAGCCTCCTGAGCAGCTGGGATTACAGACATGCACCACCATGCTCAGCTAATTTTTTGTATTTTTAGTAGAGATGGGGTATTGCCATGTTGGCCGGGCTGGTCTTGAACTCCTGGCCTCATGTGATCCACCTGCCTCAGCCTCCCAAAGTGCTGGGATTGCAGGTGTGAGCCACTGCACCTCGCCAGAAATGCTACTGATATTTGTATGTATGTTGATTTTGTATCCTCCAACTTTTTACTGAATTTATCAGTTCTAATAGTTTTTTTTGGAGTCTTTAGGTTTTCCAACAAGATCGTATCTGCAAAGAAGCATAATTTTACTTCTTCCTTTCCAATTTGATGTCCTTTATTTCTATCTCTTGCTCTAGCTAGTACTTCCAGTGCTGTGTTGAATAACAGTGGTAAGAGTGAGCATCTTTGTCATGTTACAGATCTTAGAGGAAGGGCTTTCTCTAAGTCAACTCCCATTCAGTATGATACTAGCTGTCGGTCTGTTTGTGTATGGCTTTTATTATGTTGAGGAATGTTCCTTCTGTATGCAATTTTTTGAGGGTTTTTATCATGAAGCATTGTTGAATTTTATCAGATGCTTTTTCAGAATCAATTGAAAGGATTATATGGGTTTTGTCCCTCATTCTGTTGATATGATGTATCACATTGATTTGTGTATGTTGACTAAACCATCCTTACATCCCTGGGATAAATCCCACTTGATCATGATGAATGATCTTTTTAATATATTGTTGAATTCAGTTTGCTGGTATTTTGTTGACGGTTTTTACATCAGTATTTACCAGGCATGTTGGCTAATGGTTTTCTGTTTTTGACGTGTCTTTGTCTGGTTTTGGTACCATTAATACTGGTCTCATAGAATGAATTTGGAAGTATTTCCTTCTCCTTAATTTTTTGGAGTAGTTTGAGTAGGATTAGTATTAGTTCTAGAATTCAGCAGTGAAACCATCAGGTCCCAGCCTTCTCTTTACTAGGAGACTTTTTATTATGTCTTTGATCTCATTCATTACTTGTTATTGGTCTGTTCAGGTTTTGGATTTCTTCATGATCCAACCTTATGTTTTGTTCAGGTTTTGGATTTCTTCATGATCCAACCTTATGTTTATGTACCTAGGAATTTTTCCATTTCCTCTATTTCTCAATTTGTTGGCATACAGTTGCTCATAGTAGCCACTAATGATCCTTTGAATATCGGTGGTATGATCCTTTACATTCCAGTGTTGTCTGTTGTAATGTCTCCTTTTTCATCTCTGATTTTATTTATTTAGGTCGTCTTTCTTGTTTTCTTAGTTATTCTGGCTAAAAGTCTGTCAATTTTGTTTTACTTTTAGAAAAACCAAATTTTTGCTTCATTGCTCTTTTCTGTATTGTTTTCTTTGTTTTAATTTCATTTATTTCTGCTCTCATCTTTATTATTTCTTCTAATTTTGGGTTTGGTTTGCTCTTGATATTTTAGTTCTTTAAAATGCATTCTTAGGTTATTTATTTGACTATTTTTTCCTGGTAGACACTTTTAGCTATAAACTGTCTTCTTACTACTGCTTTCTCTGTATCTCATAGATTTTAGTATTTTGTGTTTCCATTATCATTTGTTTCAAGAAATTTTTCAATTTCCTTCCTAATTTTTTCATTGGTTCACTGATCATTTAGGAGCATATTATTTAATTTCTATGTGTTTGTATATTTTCCAAAACTCCCATTATTGATATCTAGTTTTATTCCATTGTGGTCAGAGGAAATGTTTGATATTATTTCAGTTTTTTAAATGTTTTAAGACTTGTTTTGTGGCCTAACATATGATCTGTTTTTGAGAATGATCCATGTGCTCAGGAGAAGAATGTATATTCTGCAGCTGTTGGGTGAGATATTCTATAAATACCTATTCAGTCTATTGGGTCTATAGTGCATATTAAGTCCAATGTTTCTTCAATTTTTCTGTCTGGAAGATCTGTTTGATGCTGAAAGTGGGGTATTGAAGTCTCCAGCTATTATTATATTGGGGTCTGTCTCTCTCATTATCTGTAATAATATTTGCTTTATCTATCTGGGTGCTCTAGTGTTGGGTGCATATATATTTATAATTTGTTATATCCTCTTGCCAAATTGACCCCTTTATCATTGTATAATGACCTTCTTGCAGTTTCTTCTTGCAGTTTTTGTCTTGAGATCTATTTTGTCTGGTATAAGTATAGCTAACTGCTCTTCTTTGGTTTCCATTGGCATGGAATGTCTTTTTCCATCCTTTTATTTTCAGTCTATGTATATCTTTAGGTAAAAAGTGTTTCTTATAAGCTACAGATCGTTCTGTCTTATTTTTCATCCATTCAGCCACTCTGTATTTTGTGATTGAAGAGTTTAGTTCATTTGCATTCAATGTTATTGTTGATACATAAAGACTTTAATTCTGCTTTTTAGCTTTTTGTTGTTCTTTGTGTCTTCTTATACTTTCTGTATCATGAAAAAGTTACCATCGGTATTATTTTTGTTAGGTTCATTGTTTAGTCTTTCTATGGAAGATAATATGTTATACAACACAATTACAGTGTTATAATATTCTGTGTACTATTGTGCGTGAATTTTGTACCTTTAGATGATTTCTTTTTGCTCATTAACATCCTTTTCTTTCAGATTAAAGAATTCCCTTTAGCATTTCTTGTAGGACAGATCTGGTGTTGATGAAATCCATCAGCTTTTGTTTGGGAAGGTCGTTATTTCTCTTTTATGTTTAAAGCTTATTTTCACCAGATGTACTATTCTAGGGTAAAAGTTTTTTGTTTTTTTTTCCAGCACCTTTTCCTTGCCTGTCAGGTTTGCATTGAGAAGTTTGCTGCCAGATGTACTGGAGTTCAATTGTATGTTATTTGTTTCTTTTCTCTTGCTGCTTTTAGGATCCTTTTTTAAATCCTTGACCTTTGGGAATTTGATTGCTAAATGCCTAAGGTAGTCTTCTTTGGGTTAAATCTGCTTGGTGCTCTATAACCCTCTTGTACTTGAATATTGCCATCTTTCGCTAGGTTTGAAAGGTTCTGATATCATCCCTTTGAACAAGATTTCTACCCTGTCTCTTTCTTCAAGGCCAATAACTCTTAGATTTACCCTTTTGAGGCTATTTTCTAGATCTTATAGGCATGTTTCATTGGTTTTTATTCTTTTGTCACCTCTAACTGTATTTTCATATAGTCTGTCTTCTAGCTCACTAATTCTTTCTTCTGGTTGACCAGTTCTGCTATTAAGAGACTCTGATGCACTCTTCAGCATGCTAATTGCATTTTCCATCTCTAGAATTTATGCATTATTCATTTTAATAATTTCAATCTCTTTGTTAAATTTATCTGATAGAATTCTGAATTCCTTCTCTGTGTTATCTTAAATTTCTGAATTTCCTCAAAATAGCTATTTTGAATTCTCTGTCTGAAAAGCCACATATCTCTGTTTCTCCAGGACTGGTCTCTGGTGCCTTATTTAGTTCATTTGATGAGGTCATGTTTTCCTAGATGTGGCGTTCATGCTTGTAGATGTTCTTTGGTGTCTGTGCGTTGTAGAGCTAGGCATTTATTGTAGTCTTCGTAGTCTTGGCTTGTTTGTGCTTGTTCTTTTTGTGAAGACTTTTTTGATATTCAAAGGCATTTGGCCCCCAAACCCAAAAATGTTGTGGTTCTTGTCCAGTCATGGAGGTACCACTTTGGTGGTTTTGGATAAGATCAAGAAGAATTCTGCATGGATTGCCATGCAGAGACTCTTGTTCTCTTCTCCCAAACAAATGCAGTCTCTCTCTCTGGTTAGCCTCCTGGAACTGGGAGTAGGGAAACAGAAGCACCCCTGTGACCACCACCATGGGGACTGCACTGGTTCAGACCTGAGGCCAGCACACTACTGAGTCTCACTCAAGGCCTGCCGTAACCACAACCTGGCTACCATGTGAGTTCACCAAGATCCTAGGGCTCTACAATCAGCAGGTGGCAAAGTCAGCCAGGTTTCTGTCCCTCCCTTCAGGGCAGTGAGTTTCCCTAGGCCCCAGGTGAGTCCAGAGATGTTGTCTGGGAGCCAGGGATTGAAGTAAAAAAACCTTAGAAATTTACCTGATGTTCTGTTCTACTGAAGCTAAGCTGGCACTCAAACCACAAGAAAAAGTCCTTCCCACTCTTCCCTCCCCATTCCTAGCCAGAGGAGCCTCTCCCTGTGGCTACCACCACCACAATGGCCCGCATGGGGTTTTGTCAGGCCACTGCTGATGTTCACTTAAAGTCCAAAGACTCTTCATTCAGCTTCTGATGAATGCTGCCAGGTCTGGGACTTACCCTTTGAGACAGTTGGTTCTGCTCTGGTCCAGGGCAGGTGCAGAAATGCTGACCAAGAGCCTTGACCTGGACCTGGGGACCCCAAGAGCCTGCTCGGTGTTCTACCTCACTATGGCCAAGCTTGTATTTAAAGTGAAAGACAGAGTGCCCTTTACTTTTCCCTCTGCTTTTGTCAAACTGAAGGAGCCTTTTACCATAGCCACCACAGCTGGGTTCAATGCAAAGCCTCACAACTGCTGCGTTCTCCCTCTCCCAAATGTGCAGATTCTTCATGCTGCACATCCACTGCTGGAGGATAACGGAGGGAAGGCACTGATGATTCAAGACTTTCTTTCCTGCCCTCTTCAAAGTCTCTTTCAGTTATATGAAGTTAAAACCAGTTACTGTAATTGCTCACCCGACTTTGGTTCTTGCGATGGCCCTTTTTGTGTGTAGTTAGTTTAAAATTTTTTGTTCCTGTAGGGTCAATGAATGGTGGTCTTCTATTCAGCCATCTTGCTATGCCCTAACATTTTCTTTCTCCATGGCCATGGGTAAGTGTTCATGTCTCCTTGTTTATGAGTGTCCCACTGGTTAGACCAGGGTTCTGAAGCAGTGGTCCTCAGCTTTTTAATGTGGTTCAGAATCACAAGCAAAGGTTATTTAATATGCAAATTCCTGGGCCCTACTCTTAAATTCTGAGTCTTGTAGACTGGGAAAGGCCTAGGAATTTGCACAATTAACCTATATCCCAGGTGATTCTGATGCAGGTGGTCTTGGACCATGCTTTGAGAAACATGCTGTTTCTCCAAAAGCATTGCTGATAATGAAAATATAAATAAAAATGAAAACTAAAGAGAAACATGCCCTGACCCCTGAAACCTCCTGTGATCCTACTCTAGCTAATATCCGGCACACAATTTAATAGGGCTGGGACATGGAAGGGCCTTTTGCCACCTAGCCTGGTGGTATGGTTTGATTGTGACCCCGAAATTTATGTGTTGGAAACTTGATCTCCATTGGAACCCTATTAAAGGCAAAGCCTCTGGGAGGTAATTAGGATTAGATTAGGTCATCAGGGTGGAGCCCCCACGATGGAGCTGGTGGCTTTAAAAGAAGAGGGAGAGAGACATGCCCTTTCCCTCTTGCAGTGTGATACCTTCTGCATGTTGTAACACAGGAGGAAGACCCTCACCAGATGCGACTCCTTAATCTTGAACTTCTCAACCTCCAGAACTATAAGAAATAAATTTATTTTCTTTATAAATTAACCAGTCTATAGTATTCTGTTATAGCAACAGAAAAAGGACTAAAACAACTGGGGAACAACTTCTGTGTCCCTTACCTGTCTTCTGCATAGTTGGAGAATCACCATTCAGTAGCAAGGAGAAAGGTGGGTAGAGGGGTATGTAATTAAGTTAATCATTCCATCTTATCTGTCACCAACTTTCCAGGTTACTCAGTGCGTCTTTTCTTATCCGCAGGCATGTGAGCACTTAAATACTGGCTCTCCTTTTTCTTTGCCATTTCTCCTTGGACTGAAGGTGAAGCTCTTCCACTGAGATGTGGAGAAACCCATTTTGACCTTGATTCAATGGTGGTGGGTGGGGAGATGGGTAGTGGGAGTGGAGGTTGTTTGAGTGCACCCCCACTTCCCTACACAAAAGCTCCTTTGTGTCTTCTTTATGTGAGCCTGATGGGTGAGTTAGTCAGTTGAATTCAGGGTTGGATTTTTGAAACTCTTTGTTTAGTTGACTTTTGAAACTCCACTGCACATTTGCTGTGGGATCCACAAGGGCAGCAATTTCTCCCACTCATCCTTTTTCCCTCTAGACGTGAAACAGATGTATTGTCTGTGTTTACTTTTTCTGGGCATCTTAAATAATGAATGGGTTCAACTGGCTGAGAGTTGTGCTTGTAAATAAGGATATTTTGGCCAGACACGGTGGCTCACACCTGTAATCCCAGCACTTTGGGAGGCAAGGCCGGCAGCTCCCTTGAGGTCAGGAGTTCGAGACCAGCCTGGCCAACATGGTGAAACCCTGTCTCTACTAAAAATACAAAAATTGCCAGGCGTGGTTGTGCATGCCTATAATCGCAGCTGCTTGGAAGGCTGAGGCAGGAGAACTGCTTGAACCCAGGAGGCAGAGGCTGCAGTGAGCCAACATCGTGCCGTTGCACTCCAGCCTTAGGTGACAGAGCAAGACTCCATCTAAAAAAAAAAAAAAAAAAAGACTACAGATGTGGTCTTTAAGCAGGAACTCGAGAGGTCAAATGGTCTCCTAAACTATAAGTTTCTTCTTCAGTACCTATATCAAATGGCTGTATGCTTGTCTGTGATTCATGTCTTCAATGGGGAATTTGCTGCAATTAATAGGAGTCTTTTTAAGTGAAAAAATTGATAATTATAGGGAGCTTTCACCAATCTACGGATGTGACCAGTAAATCCAAGACAATGCAGACTGTGTACTTTGTTTGTGAAAGAGTGATATTTATGTTCTAGGGTAATAATGGCATTATTATTATTAATAATGAAAATAGATACTTTTTTTTTTCTTTTTTAAAGACAGAGTCTCTTCTGTCACTCAGGCTGGAGTGCAGTGGCACGATCTCGGCTTACTGCAACCTCCGTCTCCTAGGTTCAAGTGATTGTCCTGCCTCAGCCTCCTGAGTAGCTGGGTCTACAGGCATATGCCACCATTTCTGGCTAATTGTTCTATTTTTGGTAGAGACAGGGTTTTACCATGTAGGCCAGGTTGATCTCAAACTCCTGGCCTCAAGTGATCCATCCACCTTGGCCTCCCAAAGTGCTGGGATTACAGTTGTGAGCCACTATGCCTGGCAATAGATGCTAGTTTGAGGGCATATTATGTGTTCAACATTGTGCTTTTCTTGTGCTATCTTATTTAACCATTATAGTAAGTCTAAAAGGGAAATTATACTCATCTTCTATATGAGGCTTAGATTGTCTACTGTCAAAGTTTGTTACTAGCATGGGTTCAACTCCAGAGCTCAAGTTCTTTTTCGTTTGTTTGTTTGTTTTTCTTTTTAATTTTTTGAGATAGAATCTCGCTCTCTCTCCCAGACTGGAGTACATACAGTGGAGTGATCTTGGCTCACTGCAACCTCTACCTCCTGGGTTCAAGTGGTTCTCATGCCTCATCCTGCTGAGTGGCTGGGACCACAGGTGCATGTCACCATGCATGGATTGTTTTTAAATTTTTAGTAGAGATGGGGTCTCACCATGTTGGCCAAGCTGGTCTTGAACTCCTGGCCTCAAGTGATCTGCCCACTTGAGCCTCCCAAAGTGCTGGGATTATAGGCGAGAGCCACTGTGCCGGCCTAGAGCTCAAGTTCTTACTTGCAATAAATACTCTTACTTCTCTAGCAAAGAAACATGACTATCAAGGCACTTGGGACCCTGTGCAGAACGTGCTTTTTCTTCAATCTGATGGATCTTTTTTTTCTAACTTGCTGGAATTGGAGCTCCAGAGGTGGAGGTGTGTGGGCAAGTCTATTAATGGTCATCCCTAGGCAAGCTCCAAAAACAGACAGAACAAGAAAATCAATTGACCAGGAGAGAATAGACTCCAGTGATTCTAAATGATCTAGTTAAAGATGCCTTATGGCTGAATAGGTTTTGTTTTTTTTTTAAATTATCTTTTTTGAGTATGTTTCCTATGTCTTACTGATTTTGAGAAGTGCCTTAAGATTTTAACTAGCGAGTTATATGGAAGAAAGTTCCAGCACATCTTTTGTTTGACAACATCTTTCTGATGCTTTCTTTCCATTTCACTATCATACCTATGCAGCGAAACAGAGCTAGTGTTAGTCTTACCTTTCTGCAGGTGTCAAGTGAAGCCCCACAGGTATTTGCAGGAGCTGCAAAAGTCCTTTACCTTTCTTCTCTTTCTCCACTCAGCTCACCAGCATTCCCGGTAAACCATTCTTCTCCAACAGGAGTCCCTGAGGCTGCTGCTTCTTACTGGACTGCCAGGGATCTGTGAGCACAGTGTGTTTGCCACCTTATCCTGTTTTTCTCTTGGCTTCAGCATGAGTCACTAGAGGGTCTCCCAGTGGCCTGTGTGTAGTAATGTCCAGCCATTCAGACAATCCTTCCTTCTTCCATCCTAACTCTTATTTAATCACTGGTCTCCCCAGTCTAAAAGGGGGTGTTTTGATAGAATGATGCAAACATGCAGGTTCCATTTACAATGTACCATATAAAAAAGTCAGGCAGTATTATTGGCCTCTGCCCCCTCTCCCTTCCCTGCTGACCCCTTGCTCAGTTAATCCTGTGGCATCCCTTATACAGATGTTCCTAAACAGGAATTACTTCCTGGTAAACCCACTGTAAATTGAAAATACTGTGGATTGAAAATGTATTTAATAGGCCAGGTATGGTGGTTCATGCCTGTAATCCCAGCACTTTGGGAAGCCAGGCCAGGTGGATTGCCTGAGGTCAGAAGTTCAAGACCACCCCGGGCAACATGGTAAAACTCCATCTCTACTAAAAATTAAAAAATTAGCCAGGTGTGGTGGTATGCACCTGTAATCCCAGCTACTTGGAAGGCTGAGGCATGAGAATCACTTGATTCTCCTTTAGCTGATAGCAATTCTTGAGACCCCCGCCCCCAACAAGCAACAGAAACATGAGCGACATTACCTCAACCTCAGTCTCTAGAGCTGGACAGGACAGAACCTCCAAGAACCTGGGAGGTAGAGGTTGCAGTGAGCTGAGATGGCGCCATTGCACTGCAGCCTGGGCAGCAGAGCGAGACTGTCTCAAAAAAAAAAAAAAAAAAAAAAGGAAAAATAAAAAAGAAAATACATTTAATATACCTAATCTACTGAATATCATAGCTTAGTCTGGCCTATCTTAAACATACTCACAACACTTACCTTATCCTATAGTTGGGCAAAATCACCTGGCAGTACAGTTCACTGTGGAGTCTCAGTTGTTTACTCTTGTGATCCTGTCTGTGGCTGACTGGGAGCTGTGGCTTTCTGCCACTTCCCATCATTGTGAGAGAGTATTACAAAGCATATCACTAAATTGAGAAGAGGTCAAAATTCAAAATGCAAAGGATGACCCATCAGAAGACAGGGATTATTGTACTGTCACTCCGAACCCTTGTGCGACAGGCTCTGAAGTCCTCTGCAGCCTGGTGAAAGGGCGTTTCTGAACACTGGTACAGGCATTGGAGCAAGCTCCCAGGGCCAGGCGTGGCAGCCTTGTGCAGTCATGATCCTTTCCATTTCTGAAGCACTTGTACAACTTTGTCATCTGAAAGCACAGTGCAAGGGACCAGCTGCTGACTGGAGGTGGTGTGATTGTGTCTGGAGACAGTAGGTAAGGGAAGGAGTTGCATAACCAGACCAGAGCTGGTTTGGCATTGGCACCAAGTGCAGATGGCTTGGAGGACTGAGGGAACTCATGGAGTCTCCACTGTTCCCAACCCCCCATCCAAACCCCTAGGATAGTAATTATAAGACAAGATTATTTTAGTTAACGTTGATCGAATGTGCCTATTCTATGTCAGTTACTGTGTTTTCACTTAAATTTTGCCAGTTTTTAGTGTTTTCACTTAAATCTTACCATTTTCCTATGAAATAGTATTATTATGATCTCCATTTAATAGATAGGAAAACTGAAGCTTAGAGAGGTTTCATAACTCACATAATATCACGCAGCTATTAAGTAATGTGCTAGAGTTTGAACTGGAAAGTCTGACTCTAGGTTTCAACCACTACACTGCACTGTCCTGTCCAGTTCTAGAGGCTGAGGTAATGTCCCCCACATTTCTCTCGCTTGTTAGGAAGTCTCAGGAATTGCTAGCAGCTCAGGGAGGTAGGTTTCCTCTGACCTGTCTTGTTTTTCCCTGAGGAATTCAGGCATAGAACAGCACTGGTACTAGCCAAGGCCCTCATTCTTGCACGAGGTGTGAGCTCCCCTAAACAAACTGATGGCTAAGCAGGCTCATGGCTCCCGCTTTGTCCAGCCCGCAAGGACTTGTATTCAGACAGGCTTTTCTCTCTTCTGTTGATGTCTCCCTCGCTCTGAAGCCTTAGCTATTTCCTTTTCTGCTAGAAGCTGATGTTTAATTCTCACCACCTGTGCTCCTCCCACCTTATCTTGACTGCTTCAGAAACTTCCACCTCAAACCCTCATATAACAATCTGACTTCTGCAGAAAGCAGTGCAGCTTGGCAAGACCAATTCCGACTTGACCTTTGCAGCAGTGACTCTGTCATGCTAGTTGTTCTTCTGCCAGGCAGCTTCTCTTCATCCACAGCTCCTCCCTGTTTCACCTCTTTCCTCCCACTTCCAACCAGATCAATTTCTCTGATTTTCTTTTTTTCTTTTTTGAGACAAGATCTTGTTCTGTTGCCCGGGCTGGACTCCCATGGTGCAATCCTGGCTCACTGCAACCTCCACCTACCAGGTTCAAGTGATTCTTGTGCCTCAGCCTCCTGAGTACCTGAAATCATAGGCTGGCACCATTAAGCCCGGCTAATTTTTGTATTTTAGTAGAGATGGGGTTTTGCCATGTTGGCCAGTCTGATCTCGATTGCCTGGCCTCAAGTGATCCACCCACCTCCTCTCCTGAAGTGCTGAAATTACAGGCTTGAGCCATCTCGCCCGACCAGTTTCTCTGATTTTCTTTATGACTTTTGTTT